CCGCCATACTGTCACTGTCACCCCGTGTTACCCCACCCCCGCATTTCCTTCCTGTGGTGGGAGGGTGACAAACTTCCCACACAGAACCAGGGGGCCCCGGGCATCCGCGACCCAGAACGGGAGGAGACAGAACTGGGGGGGAGACAGGATTTTAGGGCAGGGGGGAAGGAACCAGGAGGGACCCGGAACTGGAGGGAAGCAGAATTTGGAGGGGGACAGAACTGAATGCGAGACAGAACTGGGGGGTGGGGGACAGAACTAGGGGAGGCAGAGAACTGTGAGTGATGCTGGGGGATGATGACCTTAGGGGGGGAAACCAGAATTGGAGGGGGTCCCAAACTGGGGAAGAGACAGAACTGGGTTGGGAGGATGCAGAACTGGGGGAGAGAGAACTGGGGAAGACCCAGAACTGGATGGGAGACAGAACTGGGGGATGGGGGCCCAGGCATCTAGGATCTGCAGTGCCCCCTATAGTCCCCCCCCATCCCCCTGTAGTGCCCCCTATAGCTCCCCTATAGTGCCCCCCCAGTGCTGGGGGGGAAGGGGGCCATCAGCGGAGGTCTCCAGGCAACTGGGACTTGCCTGTCACCATTGGGAGGGGCATGGTGGAGGGAGGTTGGATGGGGGTTGAGCTGGGGGTTAGGAATGGCTGTACTGAGAGGGTCCTGGGAGTTGTGGGGGCTGTGGGGGGGGACACCCTGGCTGGATGCCAGGTTCCCCCAGAGACACTCTGTCACTCCCCTCATCACCTGGACAGGGGAGAGAAAACAGAACATTTATTTCAGTGCTGGGATGAGGAGTGAGGGCTTGAGTTTGGGGCTGGGATGCGTTGGATGATAGAGGAGCATGAATTGGGCTTTAAAAGAACTGGATGGGCTATGGGAAACTCAGAGGCGTGTGGAAATCCTAAAGTAATGACAGACTGGTGTTTAAAGCAGCAACCAGTGAGGACAGAATGATATCAGTAAATCTTGGCACATCCTGGGGTAAGAGTGAGTTTGGGAAGCAGAGGGGTGGTTAAAGTGTGCAGGGAAACAGCACAGGCACAGGGGAGAGTAGGACAGTCTGGGGCAGTGACAGCCAAGGGCCTTGGTGGGGCTGGGACTGTTCCACCCCCACATTTCCAGCTGTAGCCATTGCCTCTGACTTCCTGCTTCATCAGCCCCAAGGGATGGTCAGGACCTCACTGGTCTCTTCAGTGATGACCCTCAGTGGGGCCAGTTAACACCCTCAGGGTCTTGGGGGTCGTTGCTGACTTTGACTTCTCAGGACGTTTGTTCCCAATGTGCTATTCAGGCATTCAGCACCACAGGGAGCAGGAACAGGCAAAGTGCCCAAACACACCACAGCTCTGGGGTTCGTTTCCTCATTTCTCACGTGGTTGATTGGAGCAGTTTCATGGGTGCTGTCAAAGTCAGAAGTTTATCAAAAAAAGTAAGCACAAGAAAGCATTTTTCTGTTTTTCCTAATCTTTCTGCCCGCAGAATACAGGGAGCTTCTGACTGAGGTTGTTTCTGAGCATTTCTTAATGAAGCACAGACATATACAGAAAGCCAAAACTGGGGGGAGTTTTTAGTGCACTCCATGGGGTGAATTAAACACAGGATTTTGCTTAAATACAAACCAAAAGAAGCACCCACGTGTGTGCACAATGCTTCGGGTAGAGTCCTACCACTATGAGCCATTCTCCAAGGACTCTGACAAGGTGTGTCTGAGCTGACCCCTCAGACACTTGCACCAGCACTGACAAAGGGTCAGCACAGGGCACCTCATCCCAGCCTTGGCTCATCCCCCATTAAATATAAAAAGAGGCCTGAGATCTAGTTAGTCTAGAGACCATATGCCTGGATCAGATACTGGGGAGCCCTGAGAGCCTGCAGGTTGGCTACTGGATGGACACTGTGGCCTAAACACCTCTTAAGAGCAAGTGCCAGATCCTTCCTTAGAGCAGATCCTTGGAGGCCAGTAGTGCAGGCAAACAAAGGCTCTGGGCAGGCCCCTGCAATGCTGAGCAAAGCCTGCCTTGGTTTTGTGGAGCAGAAAGGCCAAGACCTGAGCCCCAGGCCCTGGCCCAGCAGATCCTGTCCCTCCTGGCTGGCTCAGGGCTGTTTGGGGGCACTGGAATGGGAGGGGGAGGAACAACAAAGGCCAAAAACTGGGCAACCCCTGCCAGGCTGCTGAGGGAGGGGTGAGGCAGAAACAAAGTGCAGAACCTCAAAGGACAGTTGCTTCTGGTGGCCTCAGTGGCAGAGGCAGCTGCCAGAGCCAAGGGGACAAAGGCCTGGGTGCCTTTGGGCCTTGCAACCCTTCCAGAGCCCTTGGCCATCTCTCCTGCAGGCTGTCCTGCCCTGTCCCTGCTGCTCCTCTGGCCTTGCAGGCTGCACACACCCCTCCTGCTTTCCCACCCCCCTCCCAGCAGCACTTCTAGATCCTCACTGATGTCTTTGCACCCATCCCTGGCTGTTCCCTGAAACACAAAACCATGGGATTATCCTGACTCTTCTCTGAGTGACCTCTTGCCCTTTTGAGTGATACTTCTTTTTCCTCACTTTCAGTCTGAACATTCCAAATTGCACTTTGTGGGTTTCCTTCTCTTTCCAGAACCAATAAAAACTCCATTATCTCTCAAACTGCTCTCTCAAACTGCTCTTCCAGCAGTACCAGATACTCCTGCAGAGCCCTGGGCCTCCTTTTCCAAAGGTACAGCAGCCCATGTCCCTCAACTTCTCCACACAGGCCCCAAACCCCCTCCTGTCAGTCCTCCAGAGCCTCTCCAGTTCCTTCTCATTATTCCAGAATAGGGAACCCCACACCCAGGCACACCAGTCCAGATGTGACCACAGCAGAGCAGAGTCTAGGGTGTGACAATCTGTGCTTTGGGTGGTTCCCCTGGCCCTGCTGCAGCTGCTCTAATCCAAGGGCAGCAGCACCTCTGGCTTGTCTGGCCTCCCTCATAACACCCCAGCCCTGCTCCTCAGGTGGCTGAGCAGGGCCCACTGTGCCCTCAGCTCTGGGGCCATTCTGCCCCAGTAAAGGACTGACCATTTTTCCCTGTAAAGCCCTGGGAACTTTCCATGTGCCGAATCCCAGAGTTTTTCAGAGTTCCCAGCACTGAGGCTCTCTGGGGCAGCTGTCAATGTGTGTGTGCAGGGGGCTCACTTGGCCTGGGGTGCCTCTGGCAAGGGAACAGCCCGAGGCACTGCAGGGCGCTACAGACTATTAATGAAGCGCTTGTTGGACGATCTTGCTCCCCAAGGTGCGTGATCCTGTGATGCCAAGTGAGGCCAGGGAGGGAAGGGCAAACAGACACGGGCTGTTTGCAGGGGGAGATACAGGGATGGTCAATGGCAGCAAGTTGTGAGCAGAGAAAAAGGAAAAAGACAAGATGAAGCAAAGGAAATGCTCAGGGCTGTTTGGGGGGAGCTGCCAGGCAGCCCTGGATCTGAGCAGCAATGTCTGCAGTGGGACAAGAAACTCAAAGGTCACTCCTGTTGGAGATGCACTCCGACACACTCAGACACACTCAGGCACACCCAGACACACTCAGAAACACTTGCACACACTCACACACACTCACACACACTCAGGCACACTCAGGCACACTCAGACACAC